TTGGGCCAGTCCCTCTCTCTCAGCCCTAGGAAGGAGGCAGTGGCAAACCACTTCTGAAAAATCTTGGCAAGAAAACTGAAGGGACTTGTCCAGGAGGTCTCTGAGAATTGGACATGATTGAATGGATTAAAAAAAAAATAGATACATACATTCATGCACAGTCAGGAAGTATCAAATCTGAACTCTCACAGCTGCCTGCAGAATCCCTTCCCCCCCAAAAATAATAGCTATGCCCCTCAGAACACCTCCAAAAGTTGTAGTATTTGTAATACTTTTCATGACAAGAGGAGAAAATGATTAAATATCTAGGAAGTAACCAGAGTAACTGAAATGAAATGAAAAACTTTACTGCGGTCATTAACCAGCACAAGGAAATTGATATGCAAATATCCAAAACTGAATTGACAATATCAGGGGAGTTAGGAGAAAGACATACAAAGAATGTGGTCTGAAAACAATATTACAAACAGAGAATGCGGGGATGTTTGCTCAGGCTATGCACGTGCGACAAAAGAGAAAAGGGATTAAAATTAGCAATCCGGGTAGTATAAACTTTAAAATGGTAGCCTAAAATAAAAAAAAAAATTGATAAATAAAGCAATAAAATAATCCAAAAGGGATTTGAGGGGTATAAACCTGTCTTACAGATCCCTGTCAAACTTGAAAATATATAGTATAATAGCTGATATGGCATGTACAGACCAAAGCATAAATATCTTCAAGAAGTTAAAAAAAGAATCAGCACTTAATGCTGAGTCTGTGCCATTCCTGGCTCTCCATACTCTGGCAGGTCCAGATGCTCTTAATTATCCCTTGCCTGATTTTACATGCCACCACACAAAACCTGACCACCTTGTGTGTTATTTCAGGGTTGATGTTGGAAAATAGAAATTGCTTATACTGTTGACTGGTGAATCCTGTTTTGCTGGTCAGAAGTGGGGTAATTACAGCATTTTGAGGATCTGTGGCAATACCAAAGAACACGCTCGATTCCAGAGTCATTTAGCCAATTTAATTTGAATTCAGCTGCCAGTTGTTTTAAATCGTGCTTCATTTTGGTTCTGGCCCCACCCACTTTGGGGAATGTGGCCCATGGATACCCCTTAAAGGCTAAATATGAGCTTTGGCTCCAAACAGTTGTACATTGTAGTTTGACACCAATCCTGCAAATATCTACACCTTCTACGGTACACCTAATAGTATTCCTATGTGTTCATGCCTCATTTTTTGGCATTCCTTATCCTCTTGCAGATCACCTTCTTTCTCAAGGCAACTGCAAACCAGGGCAGAAGCTAGCTGGATCCCAATGTGTGTGTATGAACCCCAGAGAGGACTGCAGGTAAACTGTACAGAGAAAAGGGTTCCCCCACATCATATGTTGACATTTGTATTCCTCTTAAGAAAATGAAGTGCCTACTCCAACCTGTATCCAATCCTAAGATACTTCCCTCAAGTCTTTCTTCTTAGTGGACCTTAGCTAAGGAGTAGCTCTTTCTCAACAGAGAATCTTAAACCTGTGTAAAGTTATCAATTTGTAGACTGGCGTAGGCTTTCATGGCCAGTATGTGTTGGGCAGTGTTGGGCTTCAGGGTTTGGTGACCATAATCTAGACAACAGATTTCTTGAGGTTTTGCTGGTAACTGTGGCTGACATCTTCAGAGGGAAAGTGGTCTGATATGCAGACCCCAGACAAGTGATCAGGGACTGTCTGGCTCCTGTATTTATAGCCAGATATCCTGACTTCTGATTGGCCAATAATACATTGGCCAATATAAAGACAGGAGACCAGTCAGCCCCTTGCTCAATATGAGACCACTTTGCCTCTGAAGATGCCAGCCACAGTTGCTGGTGAAACATCATAAAATGTGTTCACTAGACCATGGTCACTAAACTTCAAAGCCCAACACTGTCCATTATCCATTTATCCCTATCCTTCGCTTAGGAACCGCCCACCCTGTATTCACATGGGCAGGCTAAGAAGTTTTGTGTATCCTCTTTGACAGGGTTTGGTAAATTTTCCCCATATCGTATGTTTTCAGGCTTTCTCAGTCTCCCCCAAGCTCTCTCATCTCATGAGAATGCCATAATCTCATCCCCCTGAGAACGTGCATGCTCTTGTGCAACATTTTGCAAATATCAACATGCCCTGATATTTGGTGATACTGATAGGATCGCAGTGTGTGTGTGTGTGCACATGCACATGAACGAGTGAGTGAAATAGATTGCAGTTCATGTATGAACACCTTGTTGCTAACCTGTTTTATCGCCCTTGTTTTACCACCTTTTTGAAATTTCTTCTCTAAACAGAATTTGGGAAATTCTGCCAATCATCGGATAATGATAATGACAATCACTCCAGAATTTCTTTAAAAAATAATGACTTGGCTCACCAGCTCCAACTAACTTCCCAAACAGATGTTCCAAATGTTATAAACAAAAATGAAAAATGCTTCCTTACAAATCGTTTGCTTCATCCCTCCCTCAACCAGTAAGTGTGAGGTTGTTTTTGCTTTTTTTGGTCTTTTGGCAGACACTACTCTGAAGATGTCTGTGTGCTGCATGCCACTTCTGAACAAGCAGTTACAAAGTCCAGCTGCCCATATTTGGCTGAAAAGTGCCTGGATCAGCATTCGTTCCATTTCCTGCATCCCGGCCCCTGCCTGGGTGAGACTGATGTGAGTTGGGCGAAAGAAAGGCTCAGAATTGCTACGGACAGCATAAAGAGAGAACCTTGTGGCTATGACACGTGTTACGACTGGGAGCAGTGCTCAGGTATGTATGGTTGCAGTAACTTGCTATTGTTCCCAGGCAAAGTTTATGCTGAAGCCAGTGGCAACTGATATGGTTAGGCACCAGTTCAGGCCTCAGAATAATTTCAGGAAATAGCCTGATGTGACCTGGCATGATTTGGATCTGCCAAATTCAGTCTGGGGTCCAATCTTGATGGAAACCCAAAGCTTTGTGCTCCCATTGACTATGTGGTGAAATCAAAATATTCCTTCGCCTTCTCCTCTAGTATATACCAGTTACAAACAAGGTTGCAGCCGCACTCTAACCAGATAGGCCCAGAAGACAAATGATTTCCCCACTTTCATTCTGTCTCTCCATCATGATACATTCCCCACTCCCAATATGTTCTGGATAAGGGGCACCTCCAATGCACTGCTGCTCCTGGATCAGTGTTGGATTCTCACACCATTGTTTGCATTTCGCAGCTGAGCCAACTGATTTCTGGCTTAGCCACCAAGCAGGGCAAACTGGAAATATTCCAGTTTACTTTTTGAGACCCGAGTGCTTGGAGGCAAGTGGTTTCCTCATTGGCAGGAACTTTCTGCCTGGCCAGCCTCCTTGTCTCTTCCTCCTCCCACCTCACTGTGCAAGGATTTGGGGTGGGGAACTGATTGCAGCAATGACTTTTGTGGTCTGCTCTTGGTCAGCTGGGAGTGTTCTCAGCACCGCAGTTTTGGAGATGGTGAAAATGCTGGTAGCAGATCTGCTCTATACCAGTTCTCAGGATTTGGGAGGCAAAAGTGGGGTTGGTGTGGAAGTGCCCAAAGAAACTTTGCTGAGCCCCCAGTCATGAGCTTCTATTTAAGGCAACCATATCTGGGCTGCAGAAATCCAGGCAACATTAAATGGAAACAAGGAGAAACAGAATAGATGCTCTTTGCTGGCATCTAGAGCTTATTCAGATTTTTGCAGCCCTGGTATCAATCTGATTTCTCCACCAACACTTACATAGGAGTGAGTGTCTCATGTATCCATATATGATTCTCGGGAATCTATTTTGCAACCTTCAGAGCATCATGAAAACCATCCAGGTCTACTTTGGAGACTAGTGTTGCAGGGGGGAGGGGGGAGGGGGAGGGGGGAGGGGGAGGGAAGTAAACGAAAAGTTGG